GGGCAGGGCAGGGCAGGACCGGTCAGCGCCGGGCCGGGTGTCCCTGCAGCCGGGGCCGCCCCCGGCACCGCCCGGGCGGCCGGAACCCGCTGCGGGGACAGCGCGGCGCTGGGGCAGGCAAGGGACAGACAGAAAAAGCCCCCAAAAGCATGTGATGAAGGCCATGGGTAGGAAGTTTTGCACAGTGCAGCTGATCAGGTAACTCCACTGCCCCAACAGCACCCTCTGGAGAAACTCTCTGTTCTTTATACTGAACCTATTGCTAAGCTGTTTGAGCTACACCATGTTCAAACTAGGCCAATCAAGGTGGCATGAATTATACTACAGACAGCAACTCTGTTTGCAGGAAGCTGATACCTGCTGAGTTTATTCACAGGAAGCACCTTTAGCTGTCACTGTCAAAGAGCCTCATCTCACACATTTCTGTACTGGTTTAAAGTGCCCCCAAGTACACAGCTTTTGAGTTTCCATTAGGTGGGTTGTTTTTTGTTGTTTGTTTGTTTATAACAGCATAACAGTCAATAAATTGGAATAATTTTCTCTTGCAACCTATCAGTTGTGATATCAAAGCGAGGTACAGTTAGCAGTAAAACACAAGGCTAACTATGCTGTTCCCACCTTGAAGGGCTGCAAACACTGTTGTTGCAGAGACTATGCTGCAGTTATCTGATAGACCTCCAGCAGCAAGTACAACAAATGCACACAGACCTGCTCAAAACACAGAAGTTGGAGCACTTTCTCAGACATTTGAGCACACCAGTTCATTAGGCTCAGACATATTTAGATCAACACTGTTTTTTGATTTCTTTTTGATGAGTTTTGTCCCAGATTTTGGATACTTTTCCTTGTTATGAATGACCTGGATATACTGGTCATTGCTACTGTTCTGTGGATCACTGCTGGATTCAATGGAAATGGAATCAGATTCTGTTAGAGATTGCTCCAGCTTTTGCTTTGATTTTGGTTTCACACGTGGCTCAGGATAGTTCAGGTGCACTTTCTTGTAAGCATATGGAGGCCTGTCCAGGTCTAGCTCAAAACCATCATCCCAGGATTTGTAATGCACTCTGGCTAGATCCTTGCTCAAAAGAACGGGGCCATCAGCATGTTCCCCAATGTAAAACCGTGGGGCCGGGCGAAGATCGGACAGTGAGCGAGGGCGTTGTGACCTCCTGATGAAGTCTCTCCCGAGTTCTTCGTCCTCCTCATCTTCACTGGGATGAGGGGAATACATCTGGCGTGGTGTTCGAAACACGTACCTTCTGACGTTGTGTGGATACAGCTCGACAATGTCCCTTGGTTCATCCTTTCTGAAGTGCCTTTGGAGTCGGGAGGTAGAACGGAGCGATTTCTTGCGGGACTCGTTTTCATTAACAACATAATACCTGGCAGTGTATGGTCTACGTCCCACAAAAACAGGAGCCCCTACCCCAAGATCATCCAGATTTACCTGCCGAATGCCTTTTCTGAAGAGAGGCTCAGAATGGACATCTTCAGTGTGCTTTTTGAAAGGGACTGGTGTGTAAGGCTTTGTTTTACAGAGCTCACTTGCACTCCCGTGTACAACGCTTGGATACCTTTAGGAAGGGCGAGAAAAGGGAAGGTGATACTGAGATACACACTGATCTATTAATGTAATTAAAGCGTATACAAAAGTCATTGCTCTGGAAGTCAAATACTGGATTTTAAGGAATATTAGACAACATCCATTGTTCCAAATTTTTAGGACGAGTTTGGAAAACATACTCTAGAAATTAGGAGATATATTTGTTCTCCCTGGACAAAGGCAGCAGACACTGCATGTCTCAAGTTACAAACTCATCCCATTTTCTTATTATTCTGAGAATGGTTGAAAAATGCTCTTTATCTGATCACTAGGAAAAAAAACCCAACACAATAATCTTAAAGCACCAGTTTGCTGATGTCCAAAACTGCTTGTCCTACAGCTAGACCTGCACAGGCATTCTGAACAGAGCTCCTTCCCTCTTCAAGTGTTTGGCTTGTTCATGGAAGCAGTATCCTGCACAAACTACCTTAGTTTTATGCCTGAGGTGAAGTTTGGTATTTACATTTGCTTGAGGATCAACTACATCGTTTTGGAAGTGTTACAATCCCATTTCAATTAAGGGTGAGTTAAGGAGGTGGTGTCACTAGCACTCTGAACAGTACCTATTAATTAACCTGCTTTTAAAAAATTCTCAGCTGTCGTCCTGCTCCAGACAGTCTGAGCACAGCTGTTTTGTAAGTAAACACAGGTATGTCACAGAGCTATGGGAATAAGTGCCATTTCAAAACAAAAGCAGTCTTGCCTGTTTGTGATATGATCGCTCCTTGGTTTCTGTACACTTGATACTGAGGGAGCTGGTGTTAAAGAGGTTGCAGTTGTGGGAGTTGCATTGACAGGTCTTGCAACATCAGTTGAGGGCACAGTCTGGGGCACAGACTGGGAAATGGTTTGTATTCTGGTGCCTTTGCTCACAGGAGATTCGAAGTTCAAGACACTGCCGTTCTTTCGGGGAGTCGAGGACCGAAGAGAAGACTCCTGGCTGATAATACCATTTTCTGGCTCTGGTCTCTTGTCATTTCCATCCAGATTTTTTATTCTGGCTAGAAAACAGAAATTATTACAGGAACTGTTCAGGCCTCTAAACTTATTGTGTAAATGCAGTGGCTTAAATTCACCCTTCAGCCTGGGGATCCAATGCTAACAGAACCTTACTGTGTTCAAAAACAGGAACTGGTATCACATGGTGATAAGGGCATGGATCAGCATACGATGGTACACAATGGACATAGTATTGAAAAGCATGGAAAAAACACTGGACATAGCTCTGTAAGATGCCAAAATGGGCAACAAGGCAACGAGTGTCTTTCAAGAGCCCCATTTTACTTCTCACTGTACACCTCTACCAGTATGAAGATGACCAAGTGACTGTGCTGCTCACAGCTAAAAGCTGCCTTTGGTTTCTGTAAGAGAGGAAATCCAACTAGGACACATGCCTCATTGCCCTTAATAGTCACTCCTGAACACTACATTGCTGCAAATCTGGTAATTCCCCGTTTGTGTGTCTGTTGGAGAGCTACAAGGGGGTTACAGTAGCTTTAAGATCTAGCCATTAGGCTATGGAGTCATGTCTTCTCCTTGGTGTGGCAAATTTTCATTTGTTCCTTTCACTGGCAGGAATTAGAAGGACAGCATCTTTGCTGTGGTTGCTCATTGCTAAAATCTAAGACAGGTAAGGAGGTGGGTCAAGTTCCCTCAGGTACAGTAGAGAAGTGTGAAATCTTAATTGGCTATGAAATGTCCAATCCTCTTGGGTTGAATAAGGAGCATTCCCTTCCCGCTTTTCTGCCTACTGCTCTCTGGATCTGCACAAGGTCTGACAGGATTTGAATCATCAGATAATTACATTTTTTAATTTATTCTTTAAATTTAATTGAACTTCCTTGTATGTATGAGAAATCAAAATGGTTTTGTGTCTAACATGCTTATTAATAGTGGCATTTCTGAAGCTCACCAACTTACCTACTGCCATCTGAACCACCTTTTTCTTATCTTCAGTTCTTTCCTAAAATACATTCAGAAGAATGAGAAGCAGTAAATTATTAGAGACAAAATCCACTGCAGTATAAGGATGAATAATACAGGATTGGTTTTACATAGTGAAACACTGAAAGTGACTTTAGAGAATTAATTAGGCCAGTACGTTGCTGAAGACCCACTAAATTACATGTAAAAGTGCTTTGAACTGTACTTACTGTTTGGATCTTCATTCTCAGTTGATTGTTGGTGAATTTTAATGATCTCGCAATACTTTGTAGGTAATAGATTAGCATGCTAGAAGTGAAAGAGGTGATTATGAGCCACATCAAACATTCCTGACACTTTTCCCTCTTAGGGTTTACAAGTCACCAAAGTGATGTGCAGGTTCAGTTGCTGCTTTGCAGCATTTCCTCTACACCATGATAGTGGATCACCACCTTCTTTCAAGCAAACATACATGAAAGAAGTGACACTGAAAACAGGTTCAACAGCACTTCTTTTGGTACCTCTGTTTTTTTGCAGGTCATTTCACTGTGCATGCCACCCTGTGGGCACATCTAGCTTTTGTCTGTTTAAATTCTAGATGTGCTCAAAGTGCTACTTTTGATAAATATTTCCTCTTCTTTTTTTTCCCAGGTCAAGGTTACGGAGCAGAGACACCAGAGTTACAGCTGAGTTTGCACACTCATACCAATGTAATTGTGTTGACCGAGTGGAATAACACCTTGTTTACCCTGGCACAGCCAAGACCTGGCCTGACATCATGCATTACATTGGCTTTCAGATGAACTAAAATCTTACAGCTGGACTTTGTACCACAAACGTTTACATATGTGCTTAGCCATCAGTCTGATGCAGCCAACAGACCTAGTTCAATTTGTAAATATGTTCATATTTACATGGCTAGGACCTTAGAGGAAAAAGTTCCAAATAGGAAGTATTGCATTGGTCTTTTTTATTTGTCTGAAAAGCCCACTGATGGGACAAACCCTGCATTTTTCTGTAGTTTACAGGGAAAAAAAAACAAAACAACAAGACAGAAATAATGCAAGACAAATGGTACTTCACAGAGCAAAGTGAATTTCAAACAGCTCAAAGTAAATACTAATTCCCAGTTGTGAATAATTAGTTAGAAACTAAAGTAAGAAAGAACTTCCACTGGAAGGTCTGCAGCAAGTTATATTACATCAACACTTCAGAGCAGATCTTCATAATTGATTTATCTTGTCAGAAATGAGGATGACTGCATAGCTTCTTTAAATGACAAACTGAGCCCTGTTCACAGTCATAGACTGAACTAATGACCATGAGGAAATGGAAAATTAATTTCTGAGGAGCTCTTGTGAGGGAAGAAGGATCTTAAAACTTCCTAGAACCAGCAGCACTTCAAGTTTTTACACAATATAGCCAGTTTGCTCTAACACAGTGAGCCAGAATGAGACATTCCTTTTGAAAACATGATTATGATCTTTTTTGAATAATCTCGAATATTCCCATCTGATTCATACAGTATATATTCAATAAGGTGTTTTGGTTTGTTTTTTTTATTTTTTATTTTTTCAGTTGTGCTTAATAAAATTACAATAATGCAGTGCTTACATCCTCAGTATCAACATTTGACTCTCCGGAGATAAAGCCAGTATTAATACAATCTATTTAACCTGCCTGTGAAAAACAAAGTACTTACAATAAAAGCAGTAGTGCAGGGAGGACAACAACAGGACTGCTGATGTAAGTCATC